GAAAGAAATGACCAGGAGTAACTCATCTTTTGATCTTCCTAATATTCTATTCTTCAGTTCATGTGTATGTACTGTTATAATAGGTTGGTTTTAGAAGAATCCAGACTTTTGCTCTTAAGCCTTCAGAACATCAGATTTAAGTACATAAATAAAAACACTGTGCTTATATCACTTTTATCTCCAGGTATCCCCACAACACTTCTTGTACTGGCAATCATCTTCTTCATTATTTCTGTTGTTCTAGCAGTCTGTTATATCAAAAAGTAAGTTGCTTTTTTTTTTTTTTTCCCCTCTCTTGGAGTGGATTAACTCCTAGAGTGCAATCACTGAATATTTAAAATATATACTAAAGAGCAGAGAAGTAATGATGATGACATGATAGTTTTGCACAAATTTAAAATATCTTAAACCCTGTTTTTATGCAGATAAGTCTGTTGTTGCTGTTGCCACTCCCTGCTTTAGAAAAGGAACACAAAAGATATTGCCTACTTTTAATTGGTCAATCATGCCTAGTGTGAAACATTTCCAATTGTGCCAAAATAGCAACACTGAAATGTGCACCTGTTGTTATGCAGTTCTCTCCTTTTTTTTTGTGCCACACTCAAGGTGAAAGTTTTTATTACTGCACTATGATTTTACACAGAAAAAAAAAAATTGTTGAACTCATTTGTCAAACTTAGACTTCAATACAGTACATCAATACATTAAATGCTACTAAAAAGTGTGCAGTTCTCACACCCCAGCCCAGACAGCTTTATCATTGTGTACCACAAATCCTGAATATACATTGTCTATTTTTTTTTTAAATACCAAAATATTTCTTTAGAAAACACACTGCTGGAAAAAGCACTATGATCTAGCATGCCACTATCCTCTGAGAGACTTCTGCTTGAGTATGGTAATTTAATTCCAGTTGTTTGAGTGATACTACCAAACTATGCCAGTATTTCTGCTTTATTATCTTTTTTTTTCTTTTAAAAGGTACAAGAAAACCTTACCATTTTTAAACAAGAATCAGCAAAAAGAAACAGTTGTAACTACTGCTCTGAAAGAGACAAAATCAAATGACCAAACACCTGAGAAGGAAACGCAGAATAATGGAAACAAGGTAGAAGAGTGTAAAACTAAGCCCGAGGCCACAGTAAAATGTCTAGAAGCAGAAGTTTAAAGGCAAGAATGTACAGTTCTTGATGGAAGTATAAAATAAAGCACACAGAACTTAGTAGTGCTTTTAAACATAAGTGATTGTAAATACTCATATTTTCTCTATCTTTAACATATGAAACCTTGGTTTCTTAATAATTACATCTTTGGCAGCAAATATTTTTGCAGAAGAACATGGCATCTTATTTACTCAAAATAATTTCTACAAATCCATATTACAGCTCATTTTTCATCTTTAATAAAGAAGCAATTAAAAATACGCTATTAACAACATGCACTACATTAGCTATTTGCATGGACTTGAGATCAATATATAACTAAAAGGTTTTTATATCTGCTGGAGGATGTCTGCTAGCCTAATGCCTAAAATAAAATGCTGACACTGTAGTTCTTTCTCATGTAGATTAGCTTATTTCCACTCAGTCGTTCCATGCTGCTTTAAAAATGTCTGTTTACAAACAGAAGAAACAGTTCTGTTTACAAGGGAGTAAAAACTCAAAGGATTAAGCCACTGTCATTCAAATGCCCAAAGAAGGGTACAAAGATGTTGGTGTGTATGTGTGTGTATATATATATATATATATATATATACACACACAGTAATGAATAACTTAGATACCTTTGTTGTATCATAATTTACTGTTTTATTTATTGAAACCATTATCATTCTTTCACATGAGATATTTGACAGAGGGGGACAAAAAAATCCTTGATCAAGACTTATAATGGAGATCTTTTGTGTGTATTTAAGTGTGGCTTTCATAATAAAGGTCTCAGGTGATATGGGATGTCAATGGTGCTCCCTAAAAAATAAACTATGGTGGATATGTTTGTCTGGACAATTTATTCTCACAAAAACTGTCTCATGGTAAGAAGAATTCATATAACCATAATGTTACAGAAGTAGTTAGTTGTTATAACAACACTAGCAGTTTATCAAATATTTTCCTAAATAAAGAATTTTGATAATTTCCCTTTATATTTGAAGGAGGTTGTTATGCCAAAGAAAGATTTTTTTTTTCTCCATCACCTTTAAAAACATAGTTTTAGATTATAATAATAATAATTTTTAAAATAGCAATAGAACTGGTCACCTATATTGTGTTTTCAACAGTGTAGGATACTGGATTATGAACTTGGATATTTTTCATTCACATAAATTTTAAAATGCCCAGTGTTTATACATTCCCCTAGCAATGATTTATAGTGTATTTCTAGCGTTATACTTAAGAGATTCCCTGGGTTGTTTTTTGTTTTCTCTTCTTGCCTTTTTTTTTTTTTTTGATAGTTCAGAAATATTTTATGGCTCCAAGTAAATCACTACAGCTCTAAAAATTGCTCATTTCAGATGTCCATCAGCAGAATTTTAGCAGAAAAATATGCAACAAAGGACAGCACTAGCCACAGCTTTCCCAGCCAGTTAAGTAACTCCTCTCCTTGCAAAACATCACAGTAATACCTCGTGTCCTGAATGGAAGTGCTCTGTGAGGAGCAGACAGCACAAGAAAGGCCATCAGGAACAGCCACAGCCACCAGTCATGAAGGTGCCAGAGTAGCAAACAGATCTAAGGGCACAGGAAAACATAGTGGATTCCAGGTAGTTTAGGAAATTTTTTAAATCTCCCTTCTGCCTCTCTTTTCCATGTTTTAGAGATTGGAATTTACCCGTTTCTCTATTCTTTTCCCTACAGCCGAGAGATAATTGTAATGTTGCTTCTATTTCAGAGCTAAATAAGGGTGCTTTTTTCCCCTGAAGTGTTTACTTACTAAAAAAAAAAAAAAAAAAAAAAAAAAAAAAAAAATCCTGTTTTAATAAGATATTGCCTTAACCTCTAAGTGTCATATTTTATCATGTACCTTAAAAACTCAGCATTCATCCTGACATTCCCACTGCTGCCTGACCAATGCACATGGTTTGATCTGCCCCTCTATTTCACTACACAATTTATGCCAACACCACAAGGGCTAAAGGAGCTGTTACACTGCTGCGTATGGTATAAAGGCAGCTCTAAGTACTGATCAACAAGGACTCTATTTGAGATTGTCTCTATGTAGTTAGCACTACTCTGTTACCTTGGAATTGGAAAGTACAGAACATTCCTGCTCATTGTTTAATGAAATTGCAAGGGATGCACTACTACAATGCAAACAGGAAACATTTAAGTATCTAGACAAAAAGTGTCAAACAACAAACCCTTAACTAGAGGTAGCAGAAACTTAAGAGAAATTCTTCATTATGTTTCTGATTTTTCTCAAGTGTTATGCCTTTTTTTTTTTTTTTTTTAATGAGACCTTCTCAACAGTTCTGAATCTCCTTGATGTACCAGAGCTGCTCAAGCACCTTGGATAAATAACTCATCCCACTGAGCAGGGGAGCACAGTCTGTACTTGTCACTTGATGCTAACACCACTCAGATTCCCACACTGAGGCTACAGATGTTTGCTGACCTTAGGCAAAAGGGGTGCTTGGCCTGCAGGAAATCCAGCAAGGTTTCCAGTCCAGCCCAATCCCTGTCTGGCATAGAGGGATGCCTTTGGTGTGGGAAGTACGTGTGTCCATGTGTGAACAGAAGCAGGCAGGAAGAGGAAGTACTACTCCTTTTCTCCTCTTAAAATTAAGGGGAAAAAAAAAAAAAAAGTAGAATTAAATATTGCAGCATCAGGATATGGATGACCCAGAGGATGTTCTAGGATGTCTGTTTCTCAATGGCTTGTTGTCGTTTATGGGTATTGGGTTTTTTTGTGAAAAGGTCAATGAGCATTGACCTTTGCCACTCACATCCACCACCCACATCCTCCCTGCAGACCGGGATTGGCACCAGCAGCTGTGGCCTGGGATGATCCCACTGAGCCAGGCGCTCAGCATCATTTAAATCACTATTTAAGAGAGCTCATAGTTACGAGTGAAGGCACTGTGAATCCTGGGCCGTGCAGCACTGAGTGTGCATCTGCTGAGGGTGCAGCAAGGTGAAAAGTGATCTCATTTTTGTCAGCCCAGCTATTACAGAGTGTTTCTTAAACAAACCAGCTCTATACAGCACTTCTGCTATGCGTCAGAATGGATAATAGTGTGGCCAGCAGGAGCAGGGCAGGGATTGTCCCTCTTTACTGGGCACTGGCGAGGCCACACCTCGACTGCTGTGACCTGTTCTGAGCCCCTTAGGAAGGACACTGAGGGGCTGGAGTGAGCCCAGATAAGGGCAGTGGAACTGGGGAAGGGTCGGGAGCAAAATTATCATGATGGGGGGGTGTTTAACCTGGGGAAAAGGAGGCTCAGGGATGACCTTATCAAGCTCTAGAACTGCCTGAAAGGAAGCTGTGACCAGGAGGGCGTCGGTCTCTTCTCCCAGGAAAGCAGAGACAGGATGAGAGGATACAGGCTGTGCCAGGGGAGGTTCAGGTTCGACAGTAGCAGGAATTTCTTCATAGAAAGGTTGATCAGACATCGAAATGGGCTGCCCAGGGAGGTGGTGGAGTCACCGTCCCTGCAGGTGTTTAAGGAATGACTGGATGTGTCAGTCAGTGTCATGGTCTAATTGATAGGGTGGTGTTCGGTCACAGGTTGGACTCTATGATATCTGAGTTCTTTTCCAACCTAACCGATCCTGTGATTCTGTGGTGTCCCGGCGGGGCAACGCCACCGCCGGCTGCCCCGTGTGCAGCGGCCTCACAGGCGGGGCCGTGAGGGAGGGAAGGACGCCGGGGCGGAGAGCGGCGCAGGGGCCGCCCGGGCCGCGCTCCCGCCGCGCGTCCGCCGCGTCCCGGCAACGCCGCGAGCCGCGCGTTTGCGTCACCCCCGCGCGCCGCCGCCGAGCGCGCGCCTGCGCGGCGCGGGGGAGCGGCCGCGGCGCTGCGGTGCCCGTGAGGCGGCGGCGGCGGCTCCTCCGCCGGACGTGCCGGGGATGCGGTGAGCGGGGCGAGCGGGATCCGCCCCCCGCCGCCCCTCGGCGCCGAGCGCCAGGCCCGGCCCGGGGGAAGCCGGCGGGTGCGGGCAGGGCCGGGCGGGGGGAGCGGGCGGGGCGGCCGTGACGCAGCCGGGCTGAGCGCGGCCCGTCCCGCGGCCGGCACCGGAGGGGGGCGGGCGGGGCGCGCCCGGGCCATGAGGGGCTGTGTCCGGGCCGTCCGCGCTGCTCGGGCCGCCTCGTGGGTCTGAGGGTGGCGCAGGTTGCGTGGGAATCATTTCATAGGGTACCTTGTTGGAAGGGACTCACAGGGATCACAAGCCAGTTCCTGGCCCTGCACAGGGCACCCCAAGAGTCACTCTATGTGTCTGAGTGTTGTCCAAACGCTTCTTGAACTCTCTCAGGCTTGGTGCACTGACCACTGCCCTGGGGACACTGTTCCGGTGCTCGACCACCCTCGGAGTGGAACATTTCCCGATATCCAGTTCTGCAGCACCCTTGCAGGTGTTTCTCCCCAAACTTTTCAGTGCTGGGATTTGGGTGCTGAGCTCGCAGGCCCGCAGGATGCACGGTGCTCCCTGAGAAGCTCGGGGGAGCACAAGCCCGGGAGATCCGGGAGGAGTGTCTGGAAGGTGACAGGTTCTGCTGTTGCCGTGTGGGCCTGGGCGTGTGCTCACCAGGCACTCCCTGGAGAGCGGGGCAGGAGGAGCCTTATCGGGAAGGAGAAAAGTGGCCGGAGGGGGACCGTATCTGTGTGGGAGGAGAAATTGGTCACAATTTCGGCCATAAATTGGAAGCTTACTGTGGTGAAATTGCATAGTACTTCAGTATGCTCTGACAGGGGGTGGCTTGGTGTGCTGTTTTCCTCGCACCGTGGTGAGATCTCAGCAGCTGTAAATTTTGTTCTGGGCGGGGTTAAGCCCAAGTGCTGCTACTGCTACCTGCAGGGCAAAATGCTGCTTTCTCTGTGATGCCTCCCATCAGGAGTTTGTAACGCAGCTCCTGTCAGATGGCTCCGTGTGTGAGTTTAGGTGGATGTTCTGCAGTTCCCTTGCCCTCCCACACCTCTGTCTGTATAAGTCTTAAAAGGGCCTGACGCAACTGGTTTGCTTGACAAACAGTGAACTCTGCAAAGAGGCATTTTGGGGGAAGTCAAATGCAGGGGGACCATGGGGACTAAGTAGATAAATACTCGGAAGGCGTGGCATTAATCCTTCGGCAGACTCTGGGGGAAATTATTTGGGTGTGAAGGAAAGACGAAGTAAGTTGGAGACATTTGAGCAAGTCAGTTCTGTAATACGGCCTGAAGCTGAGTGTTTTGTGTGGATAGGGAGGTCTCTTAATTGGTTTACACTGACATGGATTCCTTGGCTTACCAGTTTCAGAATGCTGTGGGAGTTCTTTTAATCTACCAATGTAAGTTTTATGTAAGAAAGGCAATTCCTGATGCGATGTCTGTGTATAAACAGACATTGATGTGCTTATGTGCAGACATTCTGATATTCACACACACAAATATTTAGAATAAACAAAGATTGTCATAAATTACCATTGTCATCTTAAGATTTTTTTTTCCATTCCATTGGATGTATTTATATATGTCAGTGTTGGAGCTGAATCTGTGGGGAAAGTTATCTCAATTTAATATAAGTATTGCTGTAAGCAAAATAGTACATTTTTAGTAAGATTATAATGTCCCATTCCAGATCTTTGAAGTGTTCTGCATTATTTCTGATCTAACTATTCAGATTGTGTTACTTGTGGAACAATTACTGTAGGCTAAAAGAAAGCGAGGGAGTAGCCATTCACAAACACACAAATGTAACTCTCAAATATTTTTGGCAGAGACTCTACAAGTGAATGAGAACTTCTCTCTGCAGAACTGAGGTGAAGAGCTTCACCATGGGTCAACAGATTTCAAACCACACACAAACTGTAATTAACAAGTTGCCAGAAAAAGTAGCAAAGCATGCCTCTTTGGTTCAAGAAAGTGGTTTCCTAACCTATGAAGAGTTTCTGGGAAGAGTAGCTGAACTCAATGATATGTAAGCCTTACTTTGGTTCTTTTTTTTTTTTTTTTTTTTTTGTTTGTTGTGTGTTTTACAGAGACCTTTTATGCAATATATTATTGTGTGCTGGCTAAGCCAGAACTGACCTGATGGTTTTGAAATGTATCCTTCATTTCTTTATGTCTAAATAATAGTTGTAAGTACACTTCAAAATCAGGCCTTTCTCCTCTGAAATTCACTTCTCTGCAGTACTCTTCTTCCAGCAAGTGCTGCTCTCTCTTAAAAGTTCACAAGAAGTGATTTGGAGTCATCTTTTTGTTAGTGTCACCTGTGTCCCTTATTGTTTTCCCTTCCACCTGGAGATGCAATGCTGCTTCTTCTCTGCTTGTCAGTTTGGGTAGGAAGGAGCAATAGGAGCCTGGTAGGGCCAGCAGATCTATATGAGGAGGGTGGCACCTGAAACAGAACTGTTTGTGACCATCCCTGCCACCTCTGCAGACATGCCAGGCTGCTCCTCATTAAGGAGGAGATGTATCTTACTGTCCCAAACCAGTGACCTAGATAATCCCAAACAAAAGGCTGCTTTTTTGTCAGATTTTTCATAGCCTGCCTTTTACTAGACCAGTACAATGACAGTAAAATGAAATGAGCAAAAAAGCAGTGTTGTCATTTTTAGCCTGTATTTATGGCATACAGTGACAGTGATTAAATGAAGTGGAAGCACACACACACAGAATAAGGGCTTTGTAATGTTTGCTATTTAACTAAAATGTGAATTTGTATTTAGTTTAGAAATTATCTTTGAGAGGGTCATACTTTTGTGAATGACCTTGAAAAACACATAGCTGTCTTCTGGGTAGACACATAAATAGATTTTGAAGAACATAACCTGATGTTTTGCCTGAGACTCCAGGCATATATTTGTATAATTCCCTCCAAAATACTGTTTCTCAAGTGTTTTTTTTTTCTTTCCAGTGATTACTTAAGCCTGAATATGTTCTGATTCCTATGGAATAGACTGTTGTGTCTGTGTTCCACTAAAGAAACAAATTTTAGGTCACCTGACATGTTCACCTGACTACCTCATTATTAATATATACTAACAAAAATACACCTCATCTGCATACACTAGTAGTCACAGACTTTTTTTTACACACCTGTTGAGGAAATAACCTTTTCAGATTGGAGACAATATTGTGTGATTAGTATAATAAACAGTGAGAATATATGTGAATTTAAATGTCTGTAAAGTACACCTGCTTGTTGATGCTGGATCAAAAGACTTGCACAACATTGTCTGAAGTTTGCTGTGCAATATAAAATGAAATGGATTCTGTATTCAGTGACATGCTGAGAAAGTCATACTCTATAATTTGATGCCCCTGGGCAGTATTGCTAAAATCTCTTTTAAGGATGGAGAGCAGACAGGTGAACCATAAATAATCGTACTTGTCTGAGGCTGCTGATCCTTGCACGTCCCGCACATGGCATTGAGCTGATGTTGCTTTGTTTCAGTACTGCAAAATTGGCTTCTGGACAAGACAAACATCTGCTGTTTGAAGTGCAGCCTGGGTCTGATTCTTCTGCTTTCTGGAAGGTGATCGTTAGGATAATATGTACCAAAGTAAGTGTGAACATTTTAATTTGATGGGCAGTTTGTATGCACAGATTTGAGGACTGTCAGTTTTACTTGTAAAATCCAACACCTGCTACATGTGTTTTGATACAGATGATTTATTCAAAGATGCTGTTGGAGATAAATTAAGTCTAAATTCTAAGTTTCTGCAAAAAACATGGCAACAAAAACAGTTTTATAACTTTTAAAAGAGTAATGCCTTCCAGTGGAGCACTTACAGCCCTTTAGTTACAAATGCAGGTGATTTGTGAGGTTAAGTAATCAAATAGTACAACAAACTGCCAGCTGTAGATTTTGAGGTCAGTAGTAGAAATGAATCAGGTCTTCCAGGCATTATTAGTTGAGCTAGTGTGCCTGTACATAGTCTGATCCCTTAGAAAACCAATCTAAAGGTTAAATATTTTAATTAATGACAAAAACTTATGAAATTTGTTCTGTCTAAAGAGGAGATTTTGCCCTCTTTATCCTATCATTAAAGGTAAAGTCCTTTAATGATCCTGAATCCCCATAGCAATCTTAACATGTGGTTAAACAAGACAACCCTCAAATCTGTTTGAAACCAACAGTTAGTACTTTTCTGTTTACTCCTAGTTTTCATTAAGGCAGCCATCACTATAGGCAATTTTAAACTCAGATATCAAATGACTGATTATCTTGTGCTTGGTTCTAAGTTCAGCCCATTTCTTTGGGCAGTAGGTCCCTATTCACACCTGAATCCACTTGAGTAGTGATGGCAATTGCCTTGCCCTGAAATCCTGGTGCTGCCTGTGGTGTTCCTCAGCTGCAACAGCTGTGGGCAGTCTCGACTCTTGCTGAGGCAGACTGCAGCTTGTTAATGTGATAAAGGACACATAGGAAGGAGACTACTGCCTTACATGAGAACTGCAGTGCTTTACAAACAGTCTGAGCAATGCCAAGTTAAAACCTGATAAGTAATTGTAAACAATTCTCATATCTTAAGATAAATAAAACAAGTGGCATCGTGGAAGCTTCCAGAATCTTGAACTTATATCAGTTCACTCAACTTTATAAAGACATCACCAGTCAAGCAGCAGGAGTTCTTGCACAGAGTGATACTTCTGAAGAAGCTGCTGAGAGTTGGAGGTCTCTGTCTTCGTGTCAGGCCAGCTTGTGGATGGGAAGGTATTTTGATACACTTTAGCTTCTGACCCAGTTACAACATAAGCATTTTGGGAGTTGTACTTCAAAACTGAACTACAAATACCTGCTGATGAGAACTGCTCGTTCTTGATAGCTGCAGGCTTTGTGCCATCACAAACATGGACAGACACCTTCCCTTGCACCAAGGGAGCTGCAGTGCACTTGGGTGAAATCCTGAAATACGGTGCTACCATACCTTAGCTTCAAAACAGCCCTTTTAGAGATCAGTTCTAATAGAAACATAGTATATCTTTGAATCTCCTAAGGAAACAGGAGGAAACTGAATCAGCTGCAGCTACAAATCTAGGGGGTTTGACAGTGTTTGTTTAAACAGCTTTTGTTACTGGTTCACTTAAACTTTCTCTTCCTCTTACATTTTGGCATGTGAAAGTTCCCATCTGTTGCCGCTAGAAGCCCATCCATTATGGTAATAATTTTAACTTGCAAGGCTGAAAAAATGTGAATTATCTCACTCATGTTGACCTTCTGCTTTGTTAACCAGAGGAAAAACAAAAGACTAAGGTCAACACCTGCAATAACTTCAGTTCAAACTGAATGTAAAAGCAAGAAGTCTGTCACCCTTTCCCTGTTGTGGAAGTGTTGTTACTACCAATAATTCCTTACTTTTCCTGAATAAGTTCATGGTTCTAACTCAGTTTAAAGTGAGGTAGAGCTAGCTTTTACAAGAAAAGGTAGTAAATGGTAGAGTTCTCTATGTGCACCAGTGAAGAGCTGGCAGCCAGGTGTTCTAATGAAACAGCCTGAGTGTCACACTTCAGCTGTTGAAATGAAAAAGGGGTCACTTGTGTTGTCACTTCACAGAGCTCTCTGGTATTTCTAAGTCAGTGGATTGCAGAAGGTATTATTTTAATTGCATTTTATTTCCTGTAAATTGTGAAATGTTTGAGAAAGAACAGGAAAATTGCTTTCTCAAGGTTGTCCCAGAACATGCATTTTTCTGGAAATGGTCTTTTGCTTCAAATAGACAAATCAAACAACATAGACCCCAGATTCTTAGGCAAAACAACTTTATATATTGCTAAAGTCAATGAGTAAAATAACAGATTTCCTATGTGAGTTTCTTTTTCGGTTTTTAAGACTTGGAGACGGGGAGATGGGCATCCTTCTTGTTCGTAAACTTCACCACTTGAGGCTGTATCAGTCACAAATAAAAATAGATTATACTTTGCTAATATAATGCAGTTTGGTGAGCTTTGTCTTAGCCAAGTTTTTCAAGTTACTAAGGAAAATATAAGCTGAAGCATCTTCAAGTATTCTACACCAATGAAATCTTCTGTATATTTTTCTGTGATAACCACCCATGTCAGTTCTTCTCACCTTCAGAGATTTTTTAGCTCTGTAAAGTTAGCCCTCACTATCTAAAAATAGCAAGTATTATCTGTTCAATTCTTCTTAACTTTTTCCCCTAGAATAATACCCCATATCTCTACAACATCCACTTCCTATTCAGAGCATTCAAAATATGCCTAAGTGGTTTATGCTTTCTGATAAAGAAAAGATAAGCATTTCCTTTGTCTGTCACTCCTTTATTTTACTGTTTCTTCGGGAACTTAGCACTGTGACTAAAGCTGACTTTGCAGAAGCTTTATAAATAGGCCTTGTGTAATTGCTTGTATAGACACCAGTAAGTCTGAAAAATTCAAGTGCTCTTAAAGGTTAGTACTCAGAAATGCATGGGGGAGGAAAATGAGAAGGGAACAGGTCTAAAGAACACAGCAGGCTTCTTGGAAATTGTTGTCCTCATTGTATGCAAACTACCATCTGTAAAAAAAATGTCATTTCAAAGTAATTTCTCCAAAAGCAAATTACAAAGGAAACCCCAAGGACCTACTGAAAGATAAAACAAAGGCATGTTGACTGCTGTTCAGTAGCTGGCTATTCTGTGCAGATCAAAAATAAATCTGTATTTGACAAGTTCCCTTAGATACCTAAGCAAAATGGTCTGGTCAATAGTCATTAAGGTGGACTAACTTCTGAAATGCCTTTTTTTTTTTCTAGACTATCTCTGTCCCTCAGGTCAGAACAGGGATTCCTTAATCAGGGTTTTTGGAAAACCCATGAATTTTAGAACACTTCCTTGGTTGTTTTGGAAGTCAGCTGTGACTATAAAATTGCAAACTTTACATATCTCTTTAGGCCAGTGAAAGCTGAGGAGCCTGTACCTTTTTGCACTTGAGAAATCTTGATGGTGCCAGTATTTGAGATATTCCTGATAAGAACATTAGATAAAGATATTTAATACTTGGGGAAAATATATAAAATATCAATATCTGTCTTGGGTAGTGAGATAATTTTTAAACTTCCCTACCAACAGAAACACCTGAGAGTTTAACTGGAAAAGCTGTGATAACAGTCATCTTGAGAGTCCTAATTTGCGGAGCAATTATATGGAGCATAAAATCAGCCTTTTCAATCTAATGAGTAGTTTAGCTCCTAGCATTCTGATGCCATGTGAGATGAGTGAACCTGTGTTCTGGTAGTAATCTTCTTGCCATGCATGTTTTTCTCTAGGATATAAACCAGCGCACAGAAATGTGGCAAAGTTCATTATGAATTAGTTCAGCCTAAAGTGCAGTGACAGGAAGGCAGGTTCTTCTCCTGCCTTTAATGTAAACAGTGCTTCTGTTCTTCTGCCCAGTCATGTGATACAAAGCAGTTAAACTCCTCACACTTCCTTGTTGATATGAAAAGGGATTTACAGAACCCTTGGCAACACCAAAAGCACCTGACACAAATACTAACACAGAAATCTGACACAAAAAATAAATACACATTCTGGCTTAGTTTAGTTCACTGCTGACATAGGCTGGGATGACATAAGTAGTCCATTCACAGATTAAAAGCACAGGTGTTTCTTTCTGGCCATCACTAATTGTTATGAAAAATGTAATAACTGGGGCATAAATATCAAACATCTGGAAGAAAACAGTGTCTTCTCTTTTGCAGGGTTAAACAGCTGACAGATGAAGAGGAATGTTGCATCTGCATGGATGGGCGTGCTGATTTAATCCTTCCATGTGCTCACAGTTTCTGCCAGAAATGCATTGATAAATGGTAATATAAATGAAAGGATATTAATTATTTTATAGTACGCATGTTTCAGCTTGATTTGAATGCTTCTATGGTTGCCAAATAATTTAAAATTGAGTAAAAGCAGACTGAAGCAGAAGGAAGGCAGGAAATTTTGTAAAAAAGAGACATGAAAATGCTGTTCAGCATTTATTTTGTAATTTCTTGCATCTTTTTATTCTTCTAAAATTGAATTGTTACAGTCTTGCTTAAAAACTTGAGAAGATGGTATATGCAGATGCTGGCATGTTATGCTTTATGTTAAAATCTCATTTAAAGCTTGTTAAGACTGCAAATATGAAGGCAAGTTGGACTGTCTGTTCTTGCTTGGGAAATAACTATCAGAGAGGATTTTTTTCCATATGTTATTCTTTCACTTCAAATAAATAGCATACAATTTACTGATTTAAGTATATCAGACTTAAATCAGACTCCATGGCAGCACCTTCAAGTTTATATATATAATGTGTAGCTTACAATGTTCAACTTCAAGTAAATTGAACACCTTTTCAGCTTGTGCATCTCTGATGCACCAGTTCTTGGAAAAGTGGGAGAGAAGAATTCCTTTGTGGAGGAAACAGCTCTTGTCTGACCATGCAGGCCTTCAAGGATTAGTGAAGTATCCTGGCAGTCTGGCACTGGGGGACACAGACCTGTTCTGTTAAAAAAAGTGATTTTTTTTTTTTGGCTAGTTAATGCAAATGGGTTTACACATAATTTGTGCATAAGAATTTTTTTTGTGGCTTTTTGAAAGACTTAGGAAGTTACTCTTGTAAGAAACACCAGGCTTCCACAAGGAAAAAACATAGTAAAAAAATCACTGGATCTCAGAATACAGCAAGTAATTTCTCTCTTCTGGGAAAATATCCTGACATCTATCAGCAGGACAGGGCTTAGTTTAGTGACTCTGCTGGAGAGTGGATTATATGCTGCTTTGGCTGATGAATCAGCTGAACTCCTCACTAAGTTCCAGTTGCACCATGCTTTTTTTTGGTCAGTAATTTTTAAAGTTGATCTCCTAATTTAGGCATAATGGAGGCTCCCAGCTCAAACATAAGTATTGGGGACCCCCGAGATGGTGGAGGAGGTTGGGACTCCAAGGGACCAGTTCTGAACTTTTGTGGGCTGCGTAACCCAGGAAAGGCTCCTTCTTCTATCTAGGAAGCCTGTGGAGATTGGTTTCTAAGGACCTCAGCTGAATTACTGAACATAGGACAATTAATTTAGACAGTGAATTTCCATTTAAACTTTCTGGCCAGGTAGCCAGATGCATCCTGTCAGACCTGAGCAAAGAATTAGGAGGAACATGATTCCAAATTTTCACTCAAAGAATAGACCTCCATTCAGAAGTCCTTCTCACAAAGAAAGAAGTTTTTAAACAAACAAAATAGATAGGTGGCCTAATTCAGTTAATGTGGTCATTCTTCAAATTCTCACTGGGCTGGTTTTTGTTTGGGTTTGGTTTGTACTTTTGGGGGCTCTTTTGGATTTTCTGGCCAGCAAAAGACCATCAGTGAAAACCATTCATTTCCGTGCCTTCCTAACAGGAGTGACCGCCACAGAAACTGTCCTGTGTGCCGCCGGCAGGTGACGGGGGCAGGAGATTCCTGGGTGGTGTCAGAGGCCCCTACAGAAGATGACATTGCCACTTACATCCTTAACATGGTGGACGAGGCGGGGCAGCCCCACAGACCCTGACCCTGCCCACCAGGCTGATCAGGGCAGAACCACTTGAAGCTTTTGTTTTCCCCAGCGTCTGGTTTTACCCCTCCTTGTCGTTCTTCCACAGTCTGTCCTTTCCTTCTCCTCTTGGCTGCTGTGAGTCTGCTCTGCTCTCCTAAAGCACAGGGTATCTGAGCAAGTCTCTGTGTGTGCAGTCTTCATTATTAAACTGTTCTTCCAGCAAACTCTTTGATCATGAACAGAGTTTAACAAGAGCATTTGATACTAATTAACAGTTCGACTACTCGATGAAGCAACTTGTAACAGCACAACTACAACTGCAAACTGCTGTTTTGAGCATCACAGTGTACTGCTACAGAGATGAACCATGGTAGGTGGCTTGACCTCACAGTTCCTACCCTTAAAAGCAGTCTCTTATTCACAACTAATGTGAATGAAGATAAGTTAGCACTAGTGGTTATTAATTTGAAATTTTACTGTTGAAACTTGAAGATGTCCCACTGCCTGTTCTTCAGTAAGAAGTTATTGCTGCTTTTAGTATTTACAGATACTTAATCTGATCTGTTAAGACTTTTAGTATAAATTATTTTAAATCCGTTTTTGAGAGTGTAGGCAGGTCTGTAAATGTACTTGTGCACTTCCCGTTATTCTTCTAACAAAACTTATCTCTTAAAATATTTTTTTTAAATACGATATTTAGCATAGTCTTATTAGCTTGGAAACATTAAACAGATTCGTACACAATCCTAAAAGCAGTAAATTGGCTTCTCAGTAGTTTTTGATAAAGAACAGCTAGAATTATTTTTAAACATTAGGTATATCTGAATGCCTTTATTTGAATTAGCACTTAAGGTGTAGTTTAGGCTGATGCTGTGGTTTTATCTGCTCCTCTTGAGTTACTAAAGTGATGAGATCAGAGTTAAAAGGTATATGAAGAGTTACAAGTGATAACCTAAGTAAGGGTGCTCTACTTTATATCTACAAGTGCAATATGCTTTTATGTAGCAGAGGGAAACTTCTTTAACAATAATGTGGCTTAGACTGAGATGCACATGTGACTGCTTGGAAAAGGGGTATCTCAACTGGAGTGAAACAGTATTTTGTGTCTAGCAGAATGAAGTCTTTAAGAGCTGAGTTTAGACAGTCTAAAATTGTTAGTATTCAGGAAACCCATCTTAAGCCTCTTGTGCATAAATAGTGTTATGAAAATGAATGGCTACTGTAGAGAATTTTTTATATATATATTAACAAATACTACTTTTTCTCACTCAGTAACCTCAAGTTAAAATATTCAAGTGTAGCATTTGAGGGAATAACAGCATAAATCCTGCTTACTGTGAAGACTGCATTTTTCCTTACCATACCTGTTAAAATTCCATGATGCCATAAGGCTTAGGTCCTTTTGTCACAGGTTCTGTGACATGTAGATATGCACATTTAGGTTATTTTTCTTAATTGGCTACAAAATAACTTAATTACATCAGTTTGTTAAAGAATGTGCACAGAGTATGGCACCTGTTTGAGCTTGGCTTGTGACACCATTGTCAAATTTATCATAGGTTTTAAAACAGAGAAGCAACATACCTTTCATGTGTCTGTCATCTGAGAGCCAGTATGGTTTAGTGTGTAAATCTGTATTTAGCTATGGAAAAATCCTTTTAGGAGTGTATATAGCTGAGAACTCTTTTTTTTTTTTTTTTTTTTCCCCTTTCTTAAGCCATTGATAGCAATGAAATATTCTTCAGTAAATCTATGGAGTGTTTGGTTGCATAAGGGTGGTTGTTTGGGCTGGAAATCATTACTGGCCCAGGATTTCCCACTAAAACATGTGCAAATATTCCTAATCATACACTAGTTTGGTTTCCTTTTGCTTTTTGAGCTTGCATTAGTCCCTGTTCAGAACTTTCAGATAATCTTTGAATTTTTTAAAGTTTTTATATCACTGGAACAGAAAGAGCGTCTAAATGAAAGCCTCAAGCTAACTTTATTTTTCAAGTACTTCAAGAATTATACTTCTGAACTGAGATTTTATAAGTTGACTTTCTGCTGAGAACTTACATGAACTTCTTAAAATGTAATTTTATATTGATGCAAACAGGTTGTTAATTGCAGCATAATGACAATTACAATATAAACTAATGCAAAAATTATTTAAATAGTGAAAAAGTAAACTTTGTATTCTGTACAGCTTTTTTAAATTAAGTTGCTGTAATTCACACTGCTGTGATGTAGATACTGTAATGTGTGCCTTGTAAAATATATGTACTGTATGTTATATGGAGAAATAGATACTTTAACACTGAAAAACTAGTGATTTGGTACTGGTTGGTATTACTTAGACTGAAGTACAACATTTAGCAAACAATTCTGGAAAAGGAATCCATTGGCATGGACATGGCAATGAGTTCCAGAAGCTAGAACTTGAAAATGTGAATTACTGCAAATAGCTGTTGGTGGAGGGCATTAGAATAAATTAACTTTTTTGTGTTAAGTGAACATTTCTTACAGGTTTAATGTGAAATTGTAACTTAAACATTAGAGATGGTATTAATAGCTAAGAACATTCCACTATATTAAACTTTCTGTATGAATTGTGCAATAAAGTTACTTTGGAAGAAATGTTAGAGTTTAAGCTTAAGGAATCTTTTGGCTTTAGTATTATGGAAATCTGAAAACTGAGATTTGATGCAAATACAATTGCTTTGTACAGGTGGTGTGGTTAAAAGCGTAGCACTTTTGAGTCAAAGCTCTCTTAAACTTTGAAGGGTTGTATCAACAAGGTACCTCAATGCAGCTCTGCAAAAAAAAAAAACTGGCTCTAATTTGACATCTTCTAGGAACACAAATAAATTGGAATATTCTGAAGTGATGGGAAAAATTAAAGAACTCTAATTCTTAGGGGACAATATTGAGGAGCATGTTTGTTTGGGGAAAGGATTTTTATTTTCAGAGATGTGTGATACACTTTTCCCCCCAAGTTATTTCATCATGTTGCTGGTGGTATTTTAAAGTTTAAGAATGCTAAGGTTTGGAATTTTTTTTTCTTAATTTTTCCTCCTTTTAAGTAAGAATTGAAATATGTAATTAATGTAACTCTTTCCTCTGTCTAGTTACTTGGCTTATCTGTTTGGATCTTTCGAAGCCAAAGCAGAAATGGGAGCAGAATTCATTAACAGATCAGGAAATTAGAATGAATAAAATGACCAGTTGACAGGCACAGCAGGAGGTAGGTGTACCAGAGCAATTAGCAAACCTTTTTATTTACTAGGTTTCAAGTTTAGGCATCATATCAATATGATGGGCATGATTCTTTTTTTTTTTGTGGGAAATTGTATATTTACCTTCCTTATCTTTCCTTTAAAGAAAATTCTGTACATAATTAGAAAGGTTTTCTACTCCATACTCTTTTCACTTCTGGAAGCCAGGGCAACCACTGAGATCTCTGTGTTACAGGTTTGAATGGAGCTGTTCAATCCCATCCCTGCAGAGCTGTATGTGCCAAATGAATTATTTTTGGAAGGAACGTACTAGCCATGGTTCTTTGTGTTTTGCATCCAGCTAGATCCTGGAAGAACAGCCCCCTCAGTGAGCCCTAAGGATGTCTGATATAACTAGGAGCTGTATGTTAACCTGGCTGCCCTTAGTCCTTACACTGCATATACATAATGCTTTAATTTTGTATTCGCACACTCTGTAATGGAAGTAATATGACAGTAATTAAGTATTTTCTTTGGGTTTCTGTTGTTGAATCATTCCTGAAGATAACATGCCAGAGGTTGTATCCTCACCTGTTTTAAGTGGGTGAACAGAATTTTGCTTTATGAGTGTGTCTTAAACATTTCAAAACTGAATTTCTGTTACCTGTCATTTCTTCCAATGCTTGACTCCAAGGCATGGAATTTATAATACAGCACTATTCTTTAAGGACTGAAAACTTTTCCTGCTGGGATGTGTCACTGGAATTAGGCTGGATGGGGCTGTGTGCCTTCCAGTGACCACAGTGTGTGATCACCAGGTAACATTTTGCTCTGAGCCAGCCAATGTTACATCCGTGAGGGATGGGACAGCACATTCTGCTTTTGTGTCTGAGCTGCCAAGATGTTCATCAGCAGATGATTACTTACCTCACTAAACCATCAAAATCCAAATAGTAAAGACTGGGCATGGGATTTGTAGGTTTAATATTAGAAGGAATTATCAGTTTTGTGAACTTGGATAGAACTTTGCACTGTGTGTCTGCTGGAATGAAGAATACAATCTAATAGGTGATTAAATGAGCACTCTTTAGTTCAAAGTGCTATTTAAAAATGCTATGTGTTTTCACAAAGTAAGCCTAAAGAATTTGGAAACATGCACCTCTGAAATTTCTAAGTGTCAGAAGGTAGGAGTTTGATATAAAAATCTGTTCTTCCATGCTGATGTGTTTCTGACCCATTTTAACAGACCTTCAAAAACTACTTTTTATGTGAGACCTGTCAGTCATAGTAAAAGAAGTAGTGGTGTTGGTGTCTCACTGTTATACAGACTGTGCTGTTTAACAGTGGTGTTCAGTGCTTTGAGACGTGTGGGGGAGAAATGCACATTTCTCAGTTACAGATGAATTGTGCTTCACCAGTGCTGCTCGTTTACAGAAATAAAGTTTGTGTACTGAAAGGGATGATGTTCTAGTCTTCATCTAAAAATCTTAACACTTCTTACTGAAGTGTTTTGTATTATGCTTTTCCTCAAAAGTCATGGTGACTGTAGCAGGATATTTGCATTTATACTATTTATTTAAATCTGTCACTTGTTGGCTTCTTCTTCAAAACCCACTAGTTGGGCTTTGTCAGATGAATTTTGTGTGTACTCATGAAATCCCACCTTGAACTGCTCTGCCCTCAGGGTCAGGGCTGCTTTCCTCCTCCCAGGCTGGGTGTCTTGACTCTCAGCTCAGTATCCACATTGGGGTCCAGGATCAGCAGGAGCTGCTGCATGCCTTGCCCTGGTGCCCAGCTTGGATGAGCAGGGAAGCAGGGTGGGCACCAAGAGACAGTGGGGGCAGCAATGCAATTTCATTTTCACAACTTTATGCCAGGTCTGAATGGTTGGTTTGCATTAACACTGACTTGTTTTAAGCCAGATAAGCCTTTATCCCCTTCTCCTAAATAGTGCTCACTGTCTTCATTGTCTCCACTGTCTTTTTTCAATTTTCATGCTTTATTTAGGTTTAGTCAGTTTAGTTGCACATTGTTTTAGTTCTCCTTAAATGTGGAGATAGGGAGGAGCTACATTTTTTTTTTGAGAGATAAACACACAAAATCCATAACCATATTCTTTTACAATTCATTCATTAGTGTAATGTTTAATGCTTCCACAAGAGGCAAAAGATAAACATCATGTAACCCAAGCACAGAAAGAAAAAAGCAGTTTTTACAGACACCTTTTCAGACTTGGATTTTAACTAGGCAAAGAGAACAGAAATGTTTAGCCACGTGTAAAGAACAATGATAGACAATAAGGTGACTCTGGGCTGTGAAAAAAATACGTATTCTCCAGCAGTAGAGCAAATGCATTAAGTTTGCTAAAGTAACAGAAAAGAATTGTTCAGGTAGATAGGTTGTAAACATCAGATAACCATAATTAACCATTTCAGGTTGAAAGTATAAAATGCTTTTGAACCAACAGATTTAAGGAAGCCTTGAATAACGTTTGAGCCTCTCTTAATGAAGTAAAGGGAAAGGAGGATGTTCTTCCATCCTGCAGCAGTACTTGCCCAGTGGCCACCTGCAGAGATGTTCTTCCAGCCCCTGAATCAAACCAGCTGTGTTGTAACCAGATTTGACCCCAGCACAGCTGGGGGGGGGGGAATCAGCCACTGCCCTGACCTGCACTGGTGTCTGTGTGTACAGCAGTGACTTGTGCTGGATCTGTCTTTTCAGTCCAGCCACAGACTGAGCCCTCAAGGTTACTCTGAACAGCCTCACATTAGCACAAAAGTGCAACTTTAAAAAAATAAAACAAGGCAAAGCTTAAGAACTGAACTTTGGAATCAGTAACATTTGCCCAATTAAAGGATGACCAGGATAAATGTAGTAGTGGAAGCTTGAAAGGATGTCTGTTTATATTTCCCCAAATATAATACTATAAGCCGAATTTCCCCTTAAAAGCAACACACAAGAAAGCACAGAAAGCAGAACTTGTGGTCATGACCACTTATGTGTTACTGTGGTTACTGTCAGAATCCAAATTACTATCCATTCACTGATTATGCAAATCCAGTTTTTTTTTTTCAGTAACAGCTACAGACCTACTAGAACCTGAGGTAAGGAAAGCTGAAAAGGCATTAAATATATACACAAATTTGGTTTAATTTTAAGGAAACTAAAAAAGACACATGACAACAAAAGCAGCACTAATAGGTGAAACTACCCAAGTAACGCAATGCTTATCAGATGGAAATACTTAAAACTGAAATTCTTCATACCAAGCATGTTGCTTATTTAGCCTGGATGCAGATGTTTTTCCCAAATAATGTTATGTTGATAATAGTTTATTAGGAAGTTGTACTTATGAAAACAAAACATTTGCATTTGATGCAGCTGAACAGCTTAAACCACTTTCTCAGACTTCATCCTAAACAAATGACACAAATCCTGAGACTGCATTCTATGAGCTGCTAAAGTTCCTAACAGTGAGGCTGACAGGGGCTGCTGACTGAGAACTTGGGACAATTTTACTCTCATGCAGCTGGGCAGCATAATGTGGTTTCACATGATTTTAGGTGTACAAGGGATACAAAATCTGGCACATTGCAGACATTAGGCTGGGGCACTGAAGAGCTGAAGTCAAATTCCCACCACCTGTCTGCAGCCCTGGTTTTGGAAGAAAGCCCTCTGCAATCACTTCAGTTCCCTCTGCATGACACTGGCTAACTCTGATGGTAAGTGGATGGCCAGAGCTCTCCCTCTTGTGCCTTGGACTCCCTCAGAGCAGCCTTCATTCCAGGCTGCTTCCTGACATCTTTAGGTTTATCTCTCTTGGGGGGTTCTTGCAAGACTGCACAGCTATAGGAGATGATAATGAATTCCTCCTTCCTCTAGTGCCATTTCCTTGCACAGGAGAAGGGCCTGGCCTAGGAAATACAAGTGGCACAAGACATCTGACTGAGCACAACATGCAGGGTTTAAAGTCAGGTGAACCTTGATGGGCCAGTATCAGTTACTGGCTTTTTCTGCATTAATCCTGAATGCCTGTTTGAAGAAGCCCAGTGTCCCTGTGCAGGGTATTAGAGAGCCAGGGGTCAGATCCTGCCTCAGGGACTGCAGCCCTTTGAATGGAGTTGCTCTGCTGGACTCACAGGCATCCTCTGCTTCCCCAGCCTGGAATCTTTTTCGGTGTGAAACTGTGTGCAGCTTCTACAATATATAGCTGCCATCATGTTACTACCTTTAATCCTTTCTGAAGTACTGTGTCATAAAGATGATGAAACAGAAAGAAAAGTGAAAATGATAAAGATTCCAGTAGCTGTATTTTACTAACCACTTCATCATAAATAAATAGTTTAACACAACATACCATGATTTGAAATGACAGATTTCAAGTGGGCTGGCTTCTGTATAAATAGACAGCTTGACTTCCCA